GTAACCGTATTTAAACTTAGTTTTCGTCCTTTTTCTCTTGTAACTGATGAAGGTCTAAGACCGAAACGTTTTTCTATTAAATTTTTAACTTTTGAACTTTTTTTACCGTCAGAAGTTGTCCGTCCTTGCTTTATCAAACGTTTTTATATATATGTAAAAAAAACTTTACAAAAGGTTCAACAAGAATCAAACACAAAACCTTGGTAAAAGCAGGAACATTGCTTTACCAACTGAGCTATGAATACATTAGAGACAGGTCAAACTTACATGTAACAGCGAAAAATTCTGGTTTACACTGCAAGTTGTATACATACGCATATACATGTCGTACATTTATTTGAAAAAGCAGGTAAGAATGAAACTGGCCACTTTAGGGCCCATGTGAAAGTAAATTTAAAAAATCAATCAAAATCTCAATAACATGTAAGTGATTTTATTTTAATAACGCGTAAAGCTTACTGTGAAACTCAGAAAACTGTGAACACTTTGATTTGATTCTGACAGGTTTATTGTGTACTGACTAATCACAATAAAGTTCAGGTCACGGGAGCAAACCTCAAAACCACAACTAATTTCCATTGCTGTTTGTGGTTTAGTTTTCCCACACTGACTAATGGCTTTTTCCTCGCTACACAATAACATTCCATAAATATTTCTGGTGTTCACAGTTTCCTGACAGTAAGCATGAGAATTTAATATTGTAATATCGGTATACATTTTTAAACTGGAAAGACAGTCTAAAACAAACATTACGATTAAAGTGAAGAATGATCATCGCAGTAAATTTTCCAATTTAAGCAATTGGAAAGAAGAAGCCTGAAAAAATTCAAGGCTTCAACAGGATTCGAACCCGTGACCGTGACAGGTGGGTCCTTAAAGATGTCACAAGGTTTTTGACTAGGAATGGTAGTCAATTCACTGGCACGCTGGCTTGGAAGGCACATGATTCCAAGGAGCTGTTTACTGATACTTAAATTACCTTGATATTGAGTCAAACGTTTAGGAAAGATTCCCTCACAAACGTGTATCTAGCCCCTGACATGTTAACTAACTAGTTAATGACAACTATCTCTGACACCACCTAATGCCCTGATGAGGATGTTTGTTGTTGTCATCTCTCTCAGGGAGTGGTGGTGGAGGTCCAAGTACTGGAGGCTTTGCAGGATTCCATAATTTCCATTTCCGTGATCCTAATGAGATCTTTAGGTAAGTTGCTGTTTTTTGGGTGTGCCTTAAAATGTAAATTGTTATTGATCCCATTGGACTTAACGTCCAGGGACTCAGGCAACAGCTTTCATTATGCCGGGTCCTCGCTCTTTGTACTGTGCAAGTTCTTACTTTCACAGTGCCTCTCTCCTCTCACATGAGCTATGTTATATGAAGTTGTGGTTCAATTTTACATCTACTTTGAATTTTTATCAAACCAAGGAATTTTTTTCACATTTGTTTTGATTAGTTTTCATCAAAGGGGTAGGGGAAGCTTGGGACCACTAACTTATTAGACCAACCAAGTTGAGGAAATTTGCTACAGTAGATAATTTGCATGATGGTGTCATTTGACTACAACTACCAGAAACCCTCACTTTTTCTGTTTCATATGTTAATTAGGGCAGTTGTTCCCCCACTGGGGCTTCACAGTTTAAATAATAAAGAAAAATGAAAGGAAAATTTTCTGGTAGTTTTAGTCAAATGACACTGATGTGCAAATCTGCTATTGCTTATATGGCCTAGCAGAGATAAAGGTGGACCACATCTACTTTGAAATCTAGGAGGGGGGCATTGGGGTAAATTAGAAACTGCAAAACTGAAGAAAAAAACATCTAAAACCGCAAAACCGCTAAAAAATTCGCCCAAAACTGAAAACCACATACAAAACCATCAAAAACCGATAAAATGGTGACAAGTGGGGCATACAGAGCAAACTACACTAACACTAATTTTATCAAAGTATTTGTGAATGTCATGGACTTGTCTGAAGCCTTCGTATCTTTTAGTATCTTTTAGCTTCTACAGGCTTCTCTCTTCCCTTTTCACTTTACATCTAAACGTGTTTTTCTTTCGAAAATTCTCGCCACCTTTCCCCTCCTCGTAAAAAAATGCAACACAATCCACAATTGATTCTTCTGTTGCTGGCGTGGGAAGCACCTTGGAAACTGACCAAATGATCGCCCTGTTCTGGGAGGTCAAAGTCTCAGGCATCATTTAAGATGTGTGATCCCCTACCGTGACATTTAGTTTGTCACGCGTTCCTCTCAATAACTTTGGCATTTCACGGCTATTCAAGATCAACTGCTGCTCAAATTGAAGGGAAACCGGAACCCAAATAGGACAAAATGGGAAAAACCAAAAACCACATCGTATATCAAAACTGAAAAACTGCCAGCATTTTTTAAGAAAATCGAAAACCAGGTGCTAAAAATGAAAAATCTGCCAACCGCAACAAACACCAAAACTGAAAAACTGAAGTCTTTTGGCACAAAAACTGAAAACCCGATCTAAAAAATAGCCAAAACTGCAAAACTGAAAATCCCAATGCCCCCCCTCATCTAGTGTTCACATCTAGGTGTTGTATGGAAGAAGTATAATGATTTTTTCTTTTTTTGGTGGGGGAGGGGAGGGTGCAGTTATGGGGGATCCTAGTGGGGCTAGGGTAAGGTAGAGTAGGGTTGGAGACTGAAAGGGGTGGGTGGTGTGCATGTTATTCTGTTTAACAACCCCCCAAAAAGCGAAAAAGAAACACGAAATTTGTGCAGAGGTTAAAAATTGAATCACCAAATGACAACTTGTACATGTACAAGTAGTATTCTTCTGGGATTAATAAAAGTCTTAGTTACCCTGTCACTGTACAGGAAATAGTGGCAACCAGGGTTTACAGATTTTTCTTACACACTGTAGTCAGGTTGATTCCACTTCCACAAATCTTGCACTCATCTACAGAAAGCTAAATTATACATTGTGCATTGAGGTTTTTCATCCTCTAGAAAGATTTTCTGATTGTTGTAATAATTAATTTGACAGCTTCAGGACTTAAACAGATATTTAACAGTGAATTTTGTTCCAAAACTGCTAGTACCTTAGATTCAAATGGCCCGTAAAGGGCATTAAAAATTTTGGATGGCAGCCAAAAATATATTCTCCTGCAAATTTCAGGGTTTTGGGCTGGAGTCAAAATTACTTTCTTTAAGAACTGGCATAGAATATGCCAAATTTTGCAATTTATTTTGTAAACCTGGGAAGTCAGCACTGGAAGCATGGACCCATCTTAATTTGCTTTGCGAGAACTTGTTGAAATTAACTCTGTGTCATCATTTGTTCTATTCAACAGAGAGTTTTTCCAACACGATTCCATGTTTGACGAGTTTTTTGGTATGTTCTGTTATTTCTTTTTTTTTTTGTCATGTTCTGGATGGGAATACCTTTAATATATATTCCCATGGAGACCTGCTCACTGCTGAGGAGACTTCTGTCCTTCTCCCTTGCTATCTTAATGTCACCTATCTTTAAATGTGCTTAAATGGGTTAGATTTTAACATAGAAATTTGAACACCCAGGTAACAGAAGAGGTGGAAATGTGAACAGGATGAGGCCAACCGACCCGTTTGCCAGCATGCCAAGTTTTGGCTTCACATCTAGTTTTGGATTTGGTGATGATCCTTTTGGTTCAAACAGGTAAAAATTTATGGCTGTGGATAAATGAAAGTTGGGTGTCTGCTTTCTAACGAGTCTGTTAAAAATAATACAGATTAAACGTGTAGATGTACTAAAAATAATTAACAAATAGATTCCATGTTGCCTTGCATCTGTTCTGAGTAATAGGTCACAGATGACGGCAAAATGTGGTAAGAAGAAGACAGTTTTATGTGACATGATAGCCAAGTGTGTCACTGATGTTCTTACCACAGGTTGACGCTGCTCTCTGTCCTTTGGAGGTAGCCCACTCTCCCTGCTTTCTGTCCTTTAGAGCTAGCCCACTCCCCCTGCTCTCTGTCCTTTAGAGCCAGCCCACTCTCCCTGCTTTCTGTCCTTTAGAGTTAGCCCACTGCCCCTGCT